TGTGAAGAACTTTTTTTCCTGTTTATTATCGTTCCGATTAACTTCCAGGTTGTTTTTATGTTTCCACAGTTTAGGTCAAATTGGTTTTTGAAATACGTTTTCTTAGCGGCATCTTTTAGTTTGTTCAACTTATTATTATATCTATTATAGACTTCTTTTTTTGAGGGATCGCCGCTACATATTTTACTATGCATGAGCGAATTTCGAAGCAAGGCATGGCGGGAGTTTTGACGATGTTGGCAGACGGGGGGAAGCACTCGGACTTCAACGTAAATATATCCGTGAAAACCCCCTTGCTTCCTGCTGAAACTTAACAACTGAAAACTAGGGATTCTGCAGAAACTGAAACTGAAACTGAAACTGAAACTGAAACTGAAACTGAAACTGAAACTGAAACTGAACAACCGTAATTTCAATTAATACAACAGGGAAATGCAATAAAGACCGAAATAATACTCTTCGACAGGTTTCAAACATAAGCACGGCACTTTGAGATTTTTCCACTGCCTGACGTTTAGTCCCAGAACTAAACGTCADGCAGTCGAATTTTTTTTTTCGAAAAATCGTCAGAACAACAGTAATTACTTGGGCTTACTGTGGAAGTTCAACTGGCTTTTTCGTCGTGGTGGTGAATATTACGCTTCAAATTGGTAGCGCATCGATAGCGCATGCGTTAAAGTCTCAGTTTCCATGGAGATGTCAAAATAAACCAATCAGCGATTTTTGGTAGCGCCTGCATTGCAGATGGACTGCAGTCTCAGAATGAAAACAAAATGGCTGACAGACGGCGGCAAAAAGTTGTCTCGTTTCAAATGGTTCTAAAATGTAGCTAAAATGCTCTAAAGAGCTGAAAATCTTACAAAATCAACTGATTACCATCCAAACGACATGGATTGAGGTATATAATTCAAGATTAGCGGATGATTCGTGCAGAAATGACTGGGCATTTTCTACCGCAGACTCGAAGAGCAGTTCTTCTTTTTCATACAAGTGTTCGATGTCAAACACAAAATCTTCAAAAATAGGAAATCACATGGATATTTAAGGTTCATACTTTGACAGAAAACAATCATTCGATGGAAGAAAGCATATCAAACCTCATCTGAAAAATATTGATGCCATTTTCTAAACTAACGATGTGTTTGAAGTTCGGAAAACTGCACGTGTGAGCTTTACTGAACTCTGTATACAAAATCTATATTGTGTATGAAGCATTTTAATTCTCTATTGTTTGTTTTGATGATTGTTTAACTTGAAAAACTTCGACAAATCCAAAAATATGAACTGTCATTAGAAGGCTAAGGTACACCTTTATGATGGCACAGAAAATAAAAAAGAACAGAAACACAAGATACAGATACATGATTCAAATGATCAAAATATTATTCAAAGTTATACTGCCAAGACTGTACCGTTTCTATTGTTTATGTGACCTATATGACCTAGCAGATATTTTGAATAATACCATGATCACCTCGGATTCTTTTGTCTTCCGAGGGATGTTTACAAGCGAACATCCCTCCCTCATGAATAGCATGAGGGACTGTTACGGTAAGAATTTTGGTTCGGGGTTTCGTGTTTCACCGAATGTCGGGGTGGACTAGCTTCGGTAGTAGCGACTCGAATTGCAGGGCCCGTAATCTGAACTTTTACCCTACGAGACGGCACGAGACTTGGATACAGAGCACGGAGTAATTTCTGGTTCAACTCTTGGTTTAATCTTCAACACTGATAGCTAGCATTCGCTAGGTGGTCTCTAATCTTACAATGTGTTGTAGCTCTATTTATGTGATTACAACTCTTTTGTTTATAAGTCATATTACATAATTGATCACTAAAACTATTACGCGTAAAACTCAAAAACCAATCAATTTGATAATAGCAAAAATGTCATAAGATGAGGTAACATACGCAGGAGATTATTGGCTGTAACTAGAAAGTTAAGTAAAGCGTGCAACTGGTACAAGTAACTTTTCATCACTTTCGATTCCTGGCTTTAACACTTGTTTCCAGGTAGTTAACGCTGAGATCAGCGATCCCTACTATCGTGACTAAAATAGTGAATTATAGATTACTTGCAACAGGTGTCTTTTAGAAAAACTCTAACTTAACCTGCTAGGTAAATATCGTGACACAATGTTTTGCCAATTTCCTACTATTGCCAATTTGTGTAATAAATAACTGATTTGTGTCCTTAAACAATTTTGATGAATTTTCTCCCGTTACATTACCCTCACCTTAAGAGCAAAGCCTCCTGGCTGCGGAAAAAAAAATATAAGCAAAACTGAGCACTTTCGTAGCTATCACGGGACGCAACCAAATCCAATACCGGATCAGGCTAATCAAAAGGCCTCCGGGGGTTGCAAAAATCCAAAAAAAAAAAAAAATGTTCAGAATTATGAGCGTTCTGCGGCCGTTTGTAAGATATCCAGTTTCTCTTCTAAGGAGAGTCCACGAAGCAAAGGTGCATCCGCCAGGTCCTTGACTCGTTCGCCCAGGCGCCGCTGTAACATTCGCGCAATTGATGCGCCTTTGGTTGCGATGACTATAGGCTGGGACGTTCTCAGTCGTGCTTCCATGTAAAACGTGCCAAACATGGCCTGAAGATAGTTCTGTGGGGCGCCCTCGGGTTCCCACATTAACCCATGTAAAGAGTTCTGGTACAGGTATGTTTTCATCATCGCCGAGGTGGTCGGCGGGTCCACGCGAAAGTACTGTGTTTTCTGGAGCTGCAATTTCTTGCAGGCCATGGTGACTCGGCGTAGATAAAACGGCTCGCTGCCATGTTGAAATCCGTCAACGACGATGATGATATCGCAAGACATGTTGGAACTTTTGGAGAAGCTTGGTGAAGGATTAACTTGCGTTGAGAATACGATACTGCAGAGCAATGGTGAACTGTAGGTTCACGGCGCGGCTTAAATAGTAGAAGCCGAAAACAGAACACGTGGAATCCGAACAATAACAAAAAGTTAATGAAAGAAATATCTCTAAAGTCTAATTGATTTGAAAAGAAAGAATATTAAATGAAAGGTTACCAAGAGTAGGTGTTACCCTTGCAGCTCGAGACCAGGTAGCCTCGGCGGTTGCGGGGCAACAGCGTAATTGATGTGCCGCCGCCGAAAAACGCAACCCAAAATAATCAGTACCAATGTGTTAATTCCTGCCAATGCAGCAGCGAAATACGTCAATATATCATTGGTAGTAGTCTGGGTTGTTTCGTGAATCGTATCAATTTTGGCTTTAAAAGCCCGTATCTCCTTGGTTAAGCGCCCATCGATAGCGTCATAAGCTTTGTCCAGCGCGTTGAGGGTGGTTTTATTGAACTTCAAAGGCGGCGGTATCTTTAAAGACTCGTAGTGTAATGGCAGTAAATGATCGTCTTGTTTTGATTTCCATGGAACATATCGGACAGTGTCCGTCGTTAATAAAGGAACCTCTAAGGTCATAGACATGGGACAGCGTCCTATTCCGGTTTGTTGACCATCAAAAGTTGAATCGCACGGAAAATGGTATATCATTAATGGGGACAACGTAATTTCCTGGTGTAGGCCTGAGGTGGTATTGACGATACCCAGTCTTTGTTCCATTGTTGATAAATAAAACCGCCCTCCTAAATGAATAAGCGGGTGAATTTTACTACAAGATTCAGTGTTAACCGCGTGTTGCCGGGGAAAAGTTAGCGCGCCGCCCGGCGACCAAGCTAATCCGAGCCAGTCGGTGTCTTCCACTTGATGTAAGAGATGTTTYGGACARACAATTGAAGTTGGGCMATCGGCACATTTAGCTAGTTCCTCTTGACTTAAAATATAACGTTTGTTTGGACACGTAATCAAAACGATACCATCTGGAATTTGGGGGCCTGTATAACAGGTGCCCGTGACATTGTAAACAAACGATGAAAGGTACTCCACCGAACAAAAGGAATCACTATCACTAATGACCGGCGCCATTAGTAGGATGTTGAGTTGTAAGACATGGTGCTCATTGAGTTCGTAGTCTGTCATAGGTTGTAAAATCAGATGATATCCTTGTCTAAGAGCTTTAACTGTGGTTTTCATGTCTTCTGACTGTGTGAGCTTAGCCGTCAATTCGGTAGACATGTAGCGCGGCAGGTGTGACAGCCCTATGACGTCACGGTTGTTTAGTTCATTAACTTGTCGTATGGTATCCTGAATCTCGTTAAGCCTTAACATCGAAGCTTGAACGTGATTAGCGTGGAAAGCATATTTTGAGAGAAATTCCATTACTTGATCATTAACGCAGTTTTGAGCGTTACTGTTTCTATTGATTTCTGTTTTCCACGTGGCCATGGTCTTTCCGAGGGCGCGTAAAATTCCATTCAAGGTATTCACACGCGTATGCAATTGTTCTGTTGCTTTAATGAGGTAGACGGCCTTTCCATTGACCACGCGTATCAACGATTGCGTGTCCTCCAATGCTGAGGATAGGATTTTCATGGAGTCCTTCAGATTAGCGATGCTATTATCATCACAATTTCCGCCTGTAGCTAAATAAATAGCCCTAAAAATTCCTCCCAGGCCCATATGGCAGGCATAGTTAGAGCGGCGTTGTCGCGAACGCAACCACACGCGCTCGTTAGCCGACAATCCATTACATGATTGTAAAGCCCATTGTTTACATTCGGCGAGGGTCTTTCGATAACCTCGTGGACATACCATAGTTGGGGTGCGTGTTGTAGCATATTGATAGTAGCGTTTTACGTACGTATCACACTCGAGCAAGTTGGTGTAGCTTTGCGAAGCAATCATGCGATTAGTCAGGTCTTGTAATTCGTGGGTTTGTCGTAATATGCCGTCCAAGTACGTTTTCCGGGGCATAGAGCATGTCGCGTTAATCTTGAATCGGGGAACCGGCTGTATCGGTTTAAGATCCGTTACTATATTGACTAATCGAGTGTCTTCATAGAATACCAACGGACGTGGGTTATGGCCTAGCATTGCCGCGGCAGGGAAATATGACACTGCTTTTCCTTCTGCGTCGAATTGTTGCGTAGCGGCCAACGGTAATATGAATAGTAGGATAACTATCAATAAAGGCATTAGCCCAATCTGTCCCGCTTCGTAGTTCGTCTGTGTTTTACTACTGTCCTTATTGTGCAAAGGCTCTTCGCTAAAGCAATTGATCCCCGCTGTACGGTCTTCCTCTCCTTGTCTAGCCTTTTTATTGTCCTCAAACTCCGCGATCAGGGCGTAATCAAAGATATTCTCCTCGGGTTCCCAAGTGTTTTCACTTGTAGGATAATCTTTCCACTTGATAAGATATTGCGTAACGCCTTTTCGCTTGCGCTTACCAACAATCTTCTCCGCGCGGAAGATAGTTTCGTTATCTATAATATTATCCTCATCGGTTTTTCCTATTTCGTCGACTTGCTCGTGGAGTTCATTCCCAGGAGCTGGTTCAGATAATTCTTCATTCTGATCTTGATCCTGGACAGGTTCAAAGCTGTCTTCAGGCATCTCGTGTTCCTTTAGGTAAGGCTCGTGGAGTACATCGAGTGGAGGTATTCCAATTGGTCGGGCGTCAGGATCGACATAGCGTTTCATGCGATTGACGTGTACGCTAGTAGACATACGGCTATTATCGGGAGTACGAAGTACAAAATGTACCGGAGATAGTTGTTTTACCAAGCGGTACGGCCCATGCCAGTTGTGTGCCAACTTCTTGGTTAGTCCTTTCTTGACGTGAGGTGTGTAGACCCAAACCTTGTCTCCGACCCGGAATTGCGGGTTTCCTGTGTGCTCGTCATAGTATGTTTTCATCTTTTGTTGCGCGCGTTGTATATTCTCTCTGGCGATTTCATGAACACGCTCGATACTCTTTACAATTCTTTCTCTGTGTTCAGCGACAGATGCCGACATATTAGTTGGCGGAAGTAAACTGACATCCATTGGTAGGCGTGGCTCTCGTCCATACAACAGATAGAAGGGAGATTCTCCGGTAACCTCTGATGGCGATACGCGGTATGCAAATAAGACGGTTTGCAAGTGTAGATCCCAGTCGGATTGTTGATCGTTAACATACATAGATAGGCTTTGAGCCAGGGTTCCGTTGAAGCGTTCAACCAATCCGTCCGTCTGCGGGTGATAAGCCGTGGTGTTTACTTTCTCAGTATTAACTAATCGGCACACTTCTTTTACTAGAGTAGATAAGAAGTTAGCTCCTCTATCGGACAATAGTGTTCTGGGTGCGCCATGTCTGGTAATGATCTGCTCGTAAAGCAGTCGGGCAATCGTCGGTGCGTCGGCTGACTCTACACTGAATGCTTCTGGCCATCTGGTCAGATAGTCACTAAAGACGACTATGAATTTATTGCCGCTGCCCTTGCATTTCGGCATCGGTCCTAAAACATCGACTGCTAGCTTGTCAAATGCTCCCTCTACTTGCATTGGCATCAGGGGCCCTTGTGTTCGTTGTCTAGGGTTTTTCTTCATCGCGCATGCGACACACGAAGTCACCCAGTGATCGATGTCTGCGTACATCTTCCGCCAATAATAGCGTTCCCGTATCTTTTCATATGTCTTGAACACGCCAAGATGTCCAGAGCTGACGTCGTCATGGCCAAATAACAAAACCTCATGTTTCAGCGCGGCCGGTATAACGAGTTGTCTTCTGGTCGTGCCCTTCCTTGGAGTCCACAGGTGATATAGAAGTCCCTCTTCGTCTAAGAAGTAATCATCAACAGTGCGTAGTGCGG